ATTCACCCAAAAAGCGGTGTTAATTATTGCCATCTGCGGAAATAACCATTTGCCATCATATATCAAGCAATAATACATTTAAAGTATATTTTACCAACACTCACACATGCTCCGCCATTTGCATTCAGGATAGTCAGGATTTCGTGCGTTTGCAGCAACAACTACTCTTCCCCTTACCTCATACCCCGCCATTCTTAACCGTTTCAAGGTGTCAAATGTGTTTGCACACGTTTACTCACCGATCAACGTGTGCATGGCTTTTTATTTAATTGACCAACGAGATCATCTTTTAAAAACCACTTAAATTCGTTAATAACGCGCCCATTTACTGCAAATAAGCAAACAAGTAGACATACGAACACACTTGGGATAACACGCACTTAAATATTGACAAACATGTATAACCTACGTATATATGTATATATGCATGTACGTGTGTATATAGGTGTATAATTCCACATCGCCAACGGCATTTGTCGCTTAATCAGCGCGATTTTACATACATAAATGAGAAAGGCGAGTCATTTGCATACTTACATACACGTACATACATATGGAGTCTACGGCGATTCGCCACTTTTGTGCGCACGCAACAAAACGAGGCGGCGGTCTGTGAATCCAACACAACAAATAAGCCTGGTGAAGCCACAAATTAATTTATATACTCACATATGTATGAATGTATGTATAAGTGTGTATAAGCAATTCTATTCACCCGCACGAAATGGACAATCGCCATTAGTCTCCGTTCATCTGTCTGCCCTAAAACTCCCCTCTTTTCTCGTTTTGTCGCATTAAAGGCGTTGCGCGTAAGAAAAGCAGGTTTCCGTCGGCTCGCAATTGGCAGTTGTCGCCGACGGCTATTGGCGGCGCGTAATTACAATGTGAATTAATGACAATAACAAAAAGCAACCTTAAGTGGATGGGGACTTACATGCGTATATACATACATACATCTATTGGTAAAAAATACCCTTATTTGTACTGCGCCAAATTTATTTCGAGTTTCTGGCGTCAGAAATACTCGTATGTACAATCGTAAGCACAAATATATATGTAAATGCTTGAGAGCTTTTAAGAATGTGCTGAAGAATTTCTTTTTCAACAAATTCAAAGCAAGGAAGATCCTTTCGACGCACTTTCTCCATTCTTTCAGTCACAGATGGATTTCTAAAACACTAAAAACACGAATATAGTACGAGAACGTCTTCATGGCTTTTCTCTAAAACTCTACCATAGCGAATTCTTTTACTTTCCAATAGACTTGTCTATCGGTATAATTGGTAATATTTCTCATTGGCGGCCGCGATAGCCAAGTGGTTGGCATTGCGTACTGGCTTAGTGCCATTCGGAAGGACAGGGCTGAAGGCCTGATCCGACCAGCATCCAAATTATAGAAAATTAATTAGAATGAAGTTACATTTTTAAATCGCCCCTCGATAGGAAATGTCAGGCCCCTCTAAATGTATTTCTGACATGAAATAAAAGATTCGATGCAGCGATTACAAAGCACCAACTGTATATACACGTAGTTTGGCCATCAAATTTTCTGCTCTGTTAAAAGTTTTGAATAAAGGGAACCAATCGTTAAGCAAAAGCTTTATCTTAAGCGGGAGATCTGTTAAAATTTCATTTCAACACATGGGTCGGGCACTTAGAGGACGCTAGTTTTCCTACATGGTTCATTTTTTCATTTAGTTCCAATCTTCGAAGATTACGTGATGTTCTACTTAATGGGTTTGTTAGTTCCAGTACTGAGAATGACACTACATTTTTTACTTTCACTGCTTCATGTGAGGAAAATACCTTTCTATATTAGAACCTCTATGAAGCTTCTAATGTTTTCACATATCTACAATGACTTCCATTATCCGATAGAGCTAACAAGATGCCAGCCAGACAAAGCTCACGTTAATGAAACTTTGAGTTCCCAAGAAATGCTAGTATGAATTTAAATCGAGACTGCGCCAAGCAAAACTAGAACGCGTAAAATTTAAGCTATCATCTACTTTGAGTCAAAAGAAAAATCTTAAGTGTCCGCTGACTTGAAAGGCGTTATAAGGACTCGCTTCATCTTACTTACTCACATACTTTACTGGCATAGATACTACTTACGAGATTTCGCGTCAATCGTTCTCATTTTCGCTGCTTGGCGCCAATAGGAGATACCAAGTAGAGCCAGGTCCCTTTTTACATGATCTTTCACTGAACTATGTCAATGTCGCCGTATATCTCATACAACTCATCATCCCACCGGTTGGTATTCGCGGTAACCAACTCGTAGAGGACCGTAAATCTTACCTAAAACTTTTTTCTCGAAACTTCCTAACACGGACTCATCAGTTGTAGTAGGATGGGTATGATGCTACTAGTAGAGTTTAGTTTTCGTTCGCCGGAAGAGGACTTAACTTTCCAATTGCCTACAGAGTCGAAGTTAGCACCTGTTGACAAGAGTGATATTGTTGTTGGTGTTAATACTGGTTTCAAGTTAGACAAAATTATCTACGACTTCAAAGTTATGACAGTCAACGTGGGTGCCGAGTAGCGAATGCGATGGCTGTTTCGTCTTTCCCTCGTTGAATACCAGACCCATATCCAGTCTGGAGAAAGCAGACACACTCCATCAGCTGTGCACTCTAATAGAAGAATGTATCTTCTTTATTCAGCTCTGCCGCTCGCGTTATTTTCTCCAGTAATTTTTTAAAAGAAAGTCACACTATAAGGAATCACCCTGTCTGAAACCTCGTTTGGTATCGAACGGCCCCGGTTCTTCCCGATTCTTACAAAGCTTCATCAAAAACAACAATAAAACGTTGCTTTGTTGCCTTCAAACGCGTTGGAAACACCTATGATGCAGAATACAGAATGCTGAGGCCGTGTAAATGAGGCTGTAACCACAGAACGCACCGAAAATGCTATGTTCAAAGCAAGACTGCATCGTAACGATAGGTTTCAAGTAAATCGAAAAATTTCTACATTGTTAAAGTAGTTAGCAAAATAAATTTCTTTTCGTTTTTACCCGAAATGGAAAACTGTCGCTAATGTTAAATCCTTAACAGATAATGTTAAACGTTAAAGTGGAGAGTGCTGTTACCAAGCAGCCGGAATTATTTGGAATTAACCTTTACCGATAAGCTTGGTGCGTGAACGATTTAAATTCGTTTCGCTAATATATCTGATAACTGGCATTGGCTGAAACATGAAGCCATCACTTCACTTCGAAATCAAAATGATCGTCATCTGAGTGGCAGCAACTGGTGCAACTGAACCAAAGTGCCCAAATTCAGAAAAAATCGGCCGGAAAGGTTTTCTACTTGAAGTGAAAAATATCACAGTGAATATTGTATGGAATTATTGAAGCCTTTGATGGTCGAAATTATAAAAAAAAAACCAGGACGTATGGCAAAGAAAAAATGTATTTCGTGAAGATAATGTGCCGTGTCAGAAGTTAATGAAAGCAGGGGCAAATCTACATGAATCGGGCTTCGAATGACTCGCATATCCAAGGGTATTGCCAAATTAAGCCTCCAGCGAATACTGACTGTTAGCATAGCAAAACAATGTTCAACTTACTAAAACTATAGTCGATTTTGAGGAGAACTTGATTCCCGGAAAAGGAGAACAGAAGAGAATTTTTAATATTATTTAGCAGACTGAGGCGGGACCGTCATGAACGTAAAAGTAGAATCCGGTTTGAGCTCAGACGAATTAATATCTGCTATGATCCGTGTGTATATTGAATTTGCTGCTAACTGAAATATTGGCGAAATATGTATATAATATAATTTAAATACTCGTACACATATAAAATATAGAGTATTTGGTAAAACACTCGATACCGGGATCTAACTTTGTACCTATTAATTTAGATATTCGATATTCGCTTCAGCAGTTACTAAGTACCAATTATATTTTTCTAAGTTTTATTAGTATTATTGTTATTATTATTATTATTATTACTGTCATTATTATTATTATTATTATTATTATTATTATTATTATTATTATTATTATTATTATTATTATTATTATTATTATTATTATTATTAATATTATTATTTTTATTATTACTATTAATATTATTATTTAAAAAACTTGTGTGCGAGTATTCGCTGCTCAAATATTCCAGCTTTTCGAATATGTGGAGATTCGCAGGGGGTATTCGATTTCTTCTGTATTAGATAGAACATGGTTATACCATACCATACTATGTACAAACTCGCGACATATTTCGATCTTAGAGTTTTAGATGCTTCTTTGGAACTCCGAGTTACTAATGATTATAAAATGTGCCTCTTGAAATGTACTCGTATATTAATTGCATGTAAATTATCCCCCTGAAATGTAATCCTATCACCACTACGGCTACCCACCACTTCCATATCTGCCCCATCAAAGCAATGCCTGCGCGAAATTGTTTCGTTTAAAACCAATTAATTGGGCGTGTATTGATATGCGCAAACGCCACGCCCACATGTTTGCTTAACTCGGCTACCAACAATAGTGAGTGGAGCTTCCTCTGACTTTGCACTGCCATTGTGGAATTGCGCACTGGGCAAACGGGAGCGCTCTAATAATAAATGTTGGAAAAGATGTTGAATTAATTAAATTGATTTCGGGCAAATTTGCAACGCCAAGACCAGCAATAAGCCAAGACCAGACCCTCTATCTACTCTACATTTTATATAAGTGGACATACCTCACCCCTCCTGCCTTCTAGTTGATATCTCGTTACACATCATATCTCAATGCCATTGGCAAAACGCCCACACGCTCCACTATCAACGGCCAACTGCTTTGGTTTCGAAGTTCATCGAACGACCGCAGGAAGTGGGCGTTGCCACTACATATTGCTCTTTAATTTTTTAAATCAACTTTAGATTTCATTAATTAAAACTGTACATTTTTCATTTCAATTTATTTGTTTTTGTCTTTCTTCATATTTTTTGCTGTTTTTTCTTAATGCTTTACATGGGTTTGTGTGTTTGTTATCATTTCAGGTCTGGTTTCAGAATCGTCGCGCTAAGTGGCGTAAACAAGAGAAGGTTGGTCCGCAATCACATCCATACAATCCCTACTTACCCAGTGGGCCGGGCGCCATGCAAGCCGTTGTCGGTCCAACGCTACCACCAAATCCATTCACACACCTGGGCTTCAATTTGCGCAAACCATTTGATGGGCCCGCCAATTTGGCCGCCTTCCGATATCCGCATCTGTCGGCGGCACCAATGTTGCCATCTGGATTTTATAATCAATTTCAAAGGTGAGTGGAAACGAGAAGATGAAGAGAATAAAGCGACAAAGGATTTTCTAACATGAAGTTAGTGAATTGGTACATTTGGTTAGGCTAAGTTTGGATGATGCTCATTCTTTTTTGGTTTATTAAGAATTTTTGTCGTTGTTTTGTCTGAAGACTTTTGTGTTACGGGGAAAACAACATATTTCTGTAGTATATTTGCAAAGCCTCCGTTTGAGCTAATAATGTCTGACATCAAAGATACTATAACCTCAACATAGGCGTAGCTCAAGGGACTTCTCTCCTTTGCGAACAGAGTCCGGGTTAAAGAACAGACAAGCTTTCAAAATACTGGTATGAATTCAGATCGAGGCAGCGGCAAGTAGCCTTACAACGAGTAAAAATTTTAAGATCGAAAGTACAGGTAGACTCGCTACTCATCCGTCATTCATTTTGAGTCGGAAAAAACTAACCAGTGACCCCTCAGCTCTCGCGAGGTACTCACAAAGACCGTTTGTTTAAGTGAGCTTAAGTCATACGCACATGTGAGCTCGTCAGTCTACAGAGATCTCTTATAAAAATCACGTACTTCAGTATTAAGTTCGCCGCGTTCTTAATGAGAGTAAAATCCATAGTCTCGAGGTGTGTACCGTCCGAGCTCATCATTTTTCAACGAGAAGGAGTGATGCTCTTGAGTAGTTGGTCTGCACAAAGCGACTTACGAAGATCTCGATCTTCCATTCTGTACCAAACGAGCTTTTCAGGGATCTCACAGAGAAGACGCGCTATTTTTTAGTGAATTTGCCACATTCTAAATGAAAGTAAATTTCAGACTCTCGAGGTCTATGGTATGAGTTGAAAAGTCTTATAAAAAAGACTCTATTGCAAAACGCCCCATCAAACTTTATCCCACCCGCAACATACATGAGCGGTACTCGCCTTCTTGAGCCTGTTAAGATACATATATACACCAAATGCGAGAGAAGGTCTTCCAGGTTCTGATTCTCTATCACTCTGGAAACTCGTGAATATAATTTCTTCTCTACTAAATCCTTTTGACGAAATGATGATCTCGCTCTTGCCGCACCAGAGGGGATGGGGAAGACCTTACTACATCAGTATGGGATTAAGCTAAACGCAACTGCAATATATATTGTTGTTAAGATAGAATTGGCTGCAAAGAGGGACAAAAGAAAAAGGGCCAAAAATAGACTATTTTCTAGACCAATAAGGATTGATACACCCCTGATTTCAGAAAGTCTAGAGGACAGAAGTCGTCTGGCTCCCTTAGAAAAAATATTTTCAGAAAGCTTCTATAAGACAAATAAAGAGATATCTAAAGGAAAAATAATATTAACTCTTCTACTACTTTTTCTCCTTCCACTTACAGAGCTCCACCCCATCTCCTACCCAGCATGGCTAGCATGTACTCACCGGCCACATCATTCCAAACTCTCTTAGCTAACATGACCGCTTGTCCACGTCCACCACCGGCCCCACCACAACTGACCATCGCCGCCGCCAAGCCACCAATGTTGATTTCATCACCCGAACTTCACTCACCAAACCACCTCATGGCATCACCGCCAATATCACCAACTTCCATGACAATGCAATCGATGGTGCCGCCACCACAGCTACCACCACCACCACCGCCCGCCGTCGTGGCACACTCCCATGCCCAACAACAGCAGGGACAATCATCGCCTGTGGTCAGTATGTCAATGATGCATCAAGCACAACAACCGCCGCCAGTACCAGTATCAACAAGTCACGGTCATTCGCCGCTGCATTTGGCACACTCACCACAACATCAATCGTCGTCGGCCGCGGCATCTGCGGCTTCCTCATCAGCAGCAGCAGCAGCTGCGGCCGCTGTGGCAGCCTCTTTAGTGCAAGTGCCACGGACTGGCACACCGCCGGAAGATCGGCGCACCTCGTCTATAGCGGCTCTGCGCTTAAAGGCGCGTGAGCACGAGCTCAAGTTGGAGTTGCTGCGTCAGAATGGTCACGGCGATGTGCTGAGCTAGTTAGCGCTGCAGTTGATGCTTGTGAAATGCTTCCAGCTTCCAGTTTGCTCATGAATGAGTGAGGAAATATTACCGTTGTAAACATTCAACCAGTGAAAATTCGTTATGATTTCGTGTCCTTCTTTGGTGTAAAAAATTGTATTATAATTTTATTTAAATTTTTGTTTTGTGTTTTAATTGATGTTCATAAAGTTTGTTATTATTCATCTGATGAACGTAAGATACATGAATAGCTAAAAAATACTTAAATTATTAACAGTTACATTAAAGTCCAATACCAGTGCGCTCAAGGACCAGTTTTATTTAAGTCACAATGAAAAATAAAAATTATACAAATTGCATACATAAAAATCCGTATAAATACGAATATATTTCTTTAGGAATTTATAAATTAAAATTGCTTAGTATACTAATATAAAATTTTAATAAATATTATAAATTTATGTAAACAGTAATTTTAGTTCAATAAAAAAAATTTTGTGATATTCACAAAGTAAATCTGCATAAATATTTAAATAAAGTATTGAGTGTTTTGTTCTTAACATTAATGAAAAAATGGAAAATTTCCTCTATATATTGTTCATATTACATTTGGCCATTTATTTTTTTTAATATTCAAAATATTATTTAATAAATTTTTTTAAAGAAATTTGCTTATCAGTCACTATTAATTTCAAGGCAAGATAAAAGACAGCATCCGGCCAGTAAAACCATAGAAGAAGACTGGCGCTTATATCAGAATGTGTGGAGAAGAAACTACGTAAAAAGAAGCTGGTCTAAACTCAGATACATAGTTGCATACAAAAAAATAAGATGTGTGCAACGTCAACTATTTAATTTAGTTTATTTTATTTTAATTAACTTTATTTTAATTTATTTTATAGTATTTAATTTCAAATTATTTTATTTAATTTAATTCTATGTTTTTTTATTTAACTTCATTTTACTTTATTTGGTTATATTTTATTTTATTTTACTTTACCTTGACTTTTATTTATTTTCTTTTTTAATTTATTTTATTTTATGGTATTTAATTTCATTTTGTTTTATTTTATTTTCTTTTATTTAATTTTATTACATTTTATTTTGCTTTACTTTTTTTTATTTTATTTATTTTATTACCTTTTTAACTTGTTTTCATTTTATTTTATTTTATTTTATTTTATTTTATTTTATTTTATTTTATTTTATTTTATTTTATTTTATTTTATTTTATTTTATTTTATTTAAATTTGTTATATGTTTTTAATTTATTTTATTTTATTATTATATATTTTTTACTTTATTTAATTTTACTTAATTTTATTATATCTTCGTTTACTTTTTGTACTTTCTTTTGCTTTAGTAGAATTTATTTAATTTTACTTTATATCATTTTCTTTAGTTTTATTTTATGATCATTTATTTTTTTTTATTTTTCTTATTTTTTAAGATGACTTAACTTTTTTCATGAAACATTGTTGTATTATTTTTATGGTCAAAAATTTGCGAATTTCCCGCTTTTATGATCATTGGGCGTATTCGTAATTACTACCAACTCAAGTCACATTTGAATTAACTGAATACAATCAATCTTATGCCTAAACGCACTCGTGAATACATACATATATGTGAATTCATAAATGTAAGTGGACAGCCCAAGCGATGAATGCCACCAACAAGCGATCACTCACGGAAGCAACAGTCATGATAGGAGTATGACTGAAAATGTTGACGCATACATACATATAATATATTCGAGCTCATCCATGAAGGTATGTGTAATTGTAACCACGCAAAAGCTCATGAATGCATAACTTGCTGTGCTTAATTTGTAGCTGTTTTGGGTGAAGCTGCTGCGGTCATTGGCAACAATTTTATGCTTAGTTACTAATTAGTCAGCAACAAATCAACGCAACAAAAAGACCTACTCAACGAATAAACCGCACATGTGTTTAAGCAATGAGAAAATAACAGATATAATAAAAATGTTGTTAATAATCATTATAACCGAAAAACCATTGAGTATCCATTTCAGCCACTCATTCTCTGCCCAAACCTCCGCTAAACTTGACTCATTCATCAGCGAACAGGCGTACGAGTCTGCCAAACGTTTTTTGTATTTTCAGGAATAAATGCATAAGACAGTCTGCGGATCTGACTGACAGTAGACCTGGCTAGGCGGTTCAACACGCTAATGAACAGTCACTCATCAAGCCAACTGCTCGCCGAGTCAGGTTAGTCAGTCACTACTCAGCCGGCGGTCATTCCGGCTGTTCTTCAGTCAGTTAGTCAATGAATATTTAACTCTCTGCTACACTACAGGCACATTAGTATGTACATATATATATATATATATATATGCAACGAGGTGGTAAAGGCGTGTGCAGCACAGATCTTTTCCCTACATTTGTGAATATTGTTATTCGCTGTTGCTCGCTCTTCGTCTTAGTTTAGAACCCAGAAAAGTAATTAATAAAAATGTAAATTCAATTAAATTTATATGACAGCTAGCTGTCAGGAGGTTTCAAATTAAAAATTACTTATATTATGATAACCAAAAGAGAGAGGAATAATTGAAGCGAGCGTGGTGTGGCGTGCAGACAATGCGGCAGCAAGGCTGCGAGGAAGTCAGGTTTTTGGAGCCAATTGCACTGAAGTTTTAGCTTGCAGTCTCCTTCGTTAGCGGGTTTTGAATATTTTCAAAAACATTCCTTCTTAATGAATTCTGAATGAAAATTGGATTTGATAGTTTAAAAGTAAAATTTTTCATCCTAAATATTGCAGTCCGTAGTAGACTTTGCTGACTGTTGATGATTCACGCCTCAATTTCCATGTTATGGTTGGATGGTTTTTAGGTCTGTGTAAAAATCAGTTCACTGAAGGAACCAGTTGAGTTTATAATTTTAATTTCAGCCAAAAACAAAAAACATTTTTAGGATTCACTGAACTAACTGGCTTGCGTATTAGAAAGCAGTCACATCCTACTAAGATTTTGAATGTAATCTAGTTGCAGAACTTCATATTCTTTTACATATACATACATATGTACCGAGAAGGACTAAGGGCTGCACAGAATACTTGATGCCAATGTTTTGTAGACCGGGAAGAGATTTCGAGTTGTAAGGTCCATCAAATCAAAGATATCTTGCCGATGTTACATCGAGTTATTAGATGGTGATTATCTACTCACATTTATGGTGCTGATACTTAATAATTTTTTTCATGTTTTCAAAACAGAACTATTGAAACACTTCCACTTTTTAAGGGGCACATTTAGTGTAAATAAAAGGTGTTTTTTGGGGATTTTTATTAAAAAAAATGTTTTATCAATTATTTCAAAATTTTAAGAATATATTTATGTATATTTCAAGAATATACAGAGAAATTTTTGAAGAAAAAAGTTAACTGTTTTTTGAGTTATAGTCGATCTCTAACGGCGCGAAAAAAAGTCCTTAACTGCTGCAGTGATTCCGGCATTCTCCGTTGATGAAATCTAAAAACTTAAACTAGGTAATATTGTCTGCACAATGACGTAATAAAAAAAATAAAAATTGACAATATGGGGACGTTTAAAAAAAAAAATAGTCGAACTTTACCCAAAATTGTGGTCGCTTTTGGCCTGCCAAAATTCGATTTTTTGATCAGATCAAAAATCGATAGGACATTGTACGGAGAACTATATATAGAACATGTAAATTAATTTGATTCGATAGTGATCGGATCATTTGTTTTTTGGAAAATACTGTTTCGAGAAAAACGCGTTTAAAGATAAAATGATCAATTACACTCGTAGCTAATGAGACTCTCTAGCTGCCGAGCGGCTGCTTTTAAATGGCTATAAATCAAAAACTATTTGAGATATCGACTTTTAAAGGTGTAATCCACCGAAATATGAAAAAAAATCGATTTTTATGAACTTTCACATTAGGTGTGTCCTTAAATAACCTTGGTTTTAAAAAACGAATTAATGACGTAAATTTATTGAAAATTTTTCAAAACCGTTTGAAAGGAAGCGGTGAGCAGCATATTAGCTCATTGAGCTTAAGACTAAGAACTGGATGTGGTGACTTAATTCTCAAACGAGCTCTGTTGGTTTTTGATTGGTTCATAGGCAAGTTATGGGATCTTTCATGGATAGACAATTTGACCATTTTTTTTCCATTTATTTAGTAGTACGGGTCCTGCAGAGCAGCTTAGACTTTTTCGCTAAATATTGTCGACTTATCGAATTCATGAACGGTTTCAGACAATTGTACGTTATCGTCGTCCAGTTATGCTTATTTATAGGTTAGAACTTAGCTCGTTGGAGTAAACTGACTATAATATGAGCACGTTTGAAGTAAAATTTTTCTAAGATTATTGCAGAAATATATGTCCTTTATTCAGAATATTATAGGCAAACATATTTAGCTATCACATAGTTCAGTTAGAAATTTGTTTTTTTACTTATAAGTATGGCTAAAGGTAACTCGAAATTCAAAATTATGAAGTTAGTGAGACGAGAACCTGCTCAACCTAACTTTCACTGCAATCTTGTATGGTCCATTTCCAGCTTTATCTGGCTGTAAGATTCAACAGTACAAAGGTAGGTTATAAGCAAGCATTCCTCTCACTCAGTTTGGGTATATAGATTGATCGAGGTATGTCCATTCGTTCATACAAACTCATTAATCTTGCTATTTCTATCAATGTCACTATGACTGGGTGTCAAAATAAGCTCGATTGAGTGAAAAATCATAGGGCCCATAAGTATCAAACTCCTGAGCTGAAGTACACTTTAGTAGACCTGAGAATTGTAGAAAAAAAAATATACAGGGGTTTCAAGCATTGGTGTTTTGAGAAGATATTGTTCAAAAAAAGGTCATTTTATTAACTTTGAATAGAATTTTTTAAAGTTGTTTAAGTGCAATTTAGGTTCTGAAACACGACTTATTTTTCGAGTAAAGTTTACAAACTTATTACATTATAAATTCCAACCTTTTTAAGGTCACAAAGCCATAAAAACAACTTAATGCCATGTAACAAAACTTTTGAAATAAATCAAACGCAAACATTAAAATATCTCAATAAAAGAAAAAGTGGTCTTAAACGACTTTCGAAATAAACGACTCATGTGGCAAATATGCACCGTTTGGTTCGATAACTTTTGGCCGTTTTCACATAAGAATTATCCAACTAAGCTCTCGGAGTTTCTGGCGAGCGACTAGCAGACAGTTCAATAGGTGACAGTTAAGAGCTTGATTGAGATTGAGCTCAAAGTGGATGATTACTTGCCAATCCCACCAAGCACATAGCAAAATCTTCCTGGTCATCAATCCTGGCTTGGTGACCAATTATATTGGCTCACAGCACA